AAAGGAAGCAGAGGAAGGGCTCCAGTTGTTGAGTGAATCTTCTTAAGAGATTTTTGGGAAGCAAGGTTAAGTTGGGATTGCACAGGATGAATAGGCACTGATGGATTGCGATTTTCCCTAGAAAAGGGAGTTAGCACATTGGTTAAATCATGTAAGTATATAAGTATACTTATTTTAATATGTGCCAGAGTAACTAAGAGACAGAAAGGGTAGGTAACATAATTAACAAACTCTTTCTCTTTGATAGTGTCTAGCATAATGCTCAGCCACTTAATAAATGTTATTGAATTAAATTATGCAAACTTCATATTTTTTTCTTTTAAATATTTAAACAGAAATGGACATTACTGTGGAGAGAAAAAAGCCTACAAGCCCGGCAGTAACCCTCCTAATTAGAAAACCTGAAGAAATATCAGTGGATATAGTCCTAGCTTTGGAATCGAGGAGCAGCTGGCCGCCAAGTACACAGGGGGGCCTAACAATTGAAAACTGGCTTGGAAGAAAAGTAAAGGTGGAATTTAAATACAGGCCAGTTTACCTGATAGCTAAGCCTGCAAAGGGAGGAAATGGTTTTCAAGGTATTTTGAATATTAAATACTATTAACATTAGTTCAAGCATATATATATACATACATATGTATATATATGTATATATATATATACATATGTATGTATATATATATTTTATAGTTTACTTTAGGCATTTAAAAATATGATTCTTTTTTTTTTTTTTGGTGAGGCAGTCGGGGTTAAGTGACTTGCCCAAGGTCACACAGCTAGTAAGTGTTAAGTGTCTGAGGCTGGATTTGAAATCAGGTCCTCCTGACTCCAAGGCCAGAGTTCTATTCACTGCACCACCTAGTTGCCCCTTAAAAATATGATTCTGAAGAGGGGTCCACAGACTTTACCAAAAAGTCTGTGACACGAAAAGGTTAAGAACTTTTGGTCCAAACAGGATTGGTGCAATCAAACAGAAGGTTAGTAATTTTTTGTCCTTTCAATGCTGGATATATTTTCATGAAATCAGAACCAGAGATACTTCCCATGCTTTCTGTCTGTCCCTTATGATTAAAGTAAAAGAAAACTATCAAAACCACTTTATAAATCATGTCAATTACTTAGCAATGAGGTAGAGAAGCTGCTAAAATGTCTTGTGTGCCATTAATTGCTACATGGAAATCATATGAAACATGATATGAAATGTAATATGATAACCAGAGGGTCACCAAAATTTCTCTCTGCTTAAAATGGAATTTCTTCTGGAAACATCAAGTTAAAATAATACTTCTTACTGGAAATAACTTGTATTTATATAGTTCTTTGATTTTTCTCGGACTTTCACCTTACTGATCCTTATCCTAAAATAGCTCACTTTTATATATCCTTTCCTCACAAGGAACCTGTGAGGAAGGCACTATCCATCTTTTACAATTAGAGAAACTGAGGCTTAGAGATATTAAGTGACTTACTGATGGTTACACAGCCAGTAAGTGTTGGAACTAGGATTTGAACCCAGGTGTCCAGATACCAGGTCTAGGTTCCCACCTCTCCCACATCTGGGAAGAAAGCAGGGCCACAGTAAATTAACCGCAAAGTTGCATCTAGGACACAGCTCTAAGTAGATTCATACCACCTTCAGTACACTTTAAGTCCAAATAATCTTTCAGAGAATATATTTCACACAAATTTTCTAATTATACAACCAGCCTTTTTCTATGGTTGCTAGAAAGTGCCTACACATATTTAGAGATCAATTGAAGCTATGCTTCAGTGTTTTGTACCTTCTGTAGTAGGGTTTAAAAGCCAACTACTTAAGAATATTTTGATTAGGCTGAGGGAGAGTCTATTTCAACCGAATTACCTTTACATGAGTATCCTAACAAAATAAGCTCATTTATTAAGCACCTACTATAGGCCAGACACTATGCTAAGTACTGTACAAATATCTCATTTGATTTTTACAACAATCTTGGGAGGCAGATGTTGTTATTATGCCCATTTTATAATTAAGGAAACTAAAACAAACAGGTTACTTGCCCAGGGTTGCATAGCTTGTGTTGGAGCCTGGATTTGAACTCAGGTCTTATCAACTCCAGGCCCAGCATGCTATCCACAGCACCACTTAGCTACCAAAATACATTTTAAAACATTCAATTAATTATAAATGGATTGTGTGTTTTTTGATGAGTTGGCTTCAACATAAAAGATGACTTTTTAATATTAAATATCTACTGATTTAGGTACACCTTCCCTTGTCCCTCCCCCCCAATGTAAACAAACAAATAAACCTTAAACATAGTTCCAAGCTACTTAAAATTTCTCTTCAAAATATTAGAGGTTATTAGCATGTAATTAGACAAAATGTCAGGAGAGCTAGTTTCTCGTTCTGGTTCTGCCACTAATTAACTAGATGCTAGACCTCAGTCAAGTCAGTTTCTCTGGGCCCAGTGCCTTCATCTGTAAAACAAGGGAGTGGGGCAAGATGACCTTTCAAGTTCCCTTTAATTCCATGTAAAATAACCCTGGCCTGCTGAGCTTTTAATGACGTGTATGAAATTAAACCTATTAAAGCTATAGATATTTCCTAAGATTAGGATGATGTTTTGTTGGATAGAATTGATTGGCTGTTTACCCGAATAAATGGAACATGATATTTTGGTAAACTGACATTTTTCTATTTACTTTTTAAAAAATTCAGCAAATACATGGCGGCTTTCCTTCTCACACATTGAGAAGGACATACTAAGAAATCATGGAAGTTCTAAAACGTGCTGTGAAACGAATGGAGTGCCATGTTGCAGGTGAGTTGTGTGTCTGGTTTTCATGCTTCTTTGTTAGATGGTCATTAGAATGTAGAACAGGAACTGTTTATTTTGTTTTGTTTTTGTTGTTCTTTATATTTCCGTGGGACTAGCAGTTCCTTTTAGTAGCAAATGCTTTCTTGAGTTGATTTTTTCAAAAATTTTATTAATTTATTTTGATTTATCAACAATCACTTCCATATGCTTTTGAGTTTAATATTTTTCTCCCCCTTCCTCCCCACCACCCTCCCCAAGATAGCATACAATCTCATATAGGCTATACATTTACCTTGAATTGATTTTTAAAAATCTATTAAGGCTTTCTCTACAAAGTGTTAGTATGCCCCCAAAGAGTTAATTCAACATACTTTAAGCCTATGTTTAGAGGAGTTATTCAATTGCCTTTTTTTTTCTGCTAGGCAGTGGGGTTTAAGTAACTTGCCCAGGGTCACAGAGCTAGTAAATGTCACATGTCTGAGGGAGGCTGGATTTGAACTCAGGTACTCCTGACTCCAAGGCCAGAGCTCTATCCAATTTCTGTTGCCTTTTAAAGCAGGTTTTAAGATTTTAAATATGGCACAGAGTAGTATCAAATCAGAAAAACTAACTTGCTATCAGTAAGATTGTATAACCAAGGGTGGGGAACCTGGGGCCTCCAGGTAGAGATTCAAAGGGCCACACTTGAGGACATAGAGGGCCACATGTGGCCTGGAGGACACAGGTTCCCCACCCCCAATAGGCTTTGGTATATGAATAAACAGTCTGCACCCTCCCCTTGCAAATAAAAAGAATCCCAAACCCTACAATATGGTATATTCTGTACCTACTACATTCCCACGATATATTAAGCACTGCCATATAAGACATAGTCCACACCCACAAACCTTTGTAATCTATTATGGGAGAAATTAGCTCACAACAATTAGAATACAAGACAGCAAAAGTGCCAGTCTTATAACTGCTTTTTCTTTAACAGGAAAAAATGTTTAAAGTTGATGAAATATCTTCTTGAACAGCTGAAAAAAAAGTTTGAGAACCGGAAGGAGCTAGAAAAATTCAATTCTTATCACATGAAAACTGCTTTCTTTCACTTATGTGCTCAGAAACCAGATGACAGTCAGTGGCAATTAAGAGATCTAGAACAGTGTTTTGATAACTGTGTGACTTATTTTCTTCAGTGTCTGCGGGTAGAACAACTTGTACATTTTTTTATTCCTAGATATAATCTGTTTAGTCGTGACCTCATTGGTAAAACCAGTCAAGTATTTCTGTTAAGGCAAATTGAATTTCAAAGAAACAATATGTTTCCAGTGTTTGATGAATAAGATTATGCTTAGAAAAGAACCAAGACTTATAGTTGCTGTCACCTTAATAAAGTAATTTCTGAAACTGTAATTGGATTTTCTTCTCAGAGAATAGACATATTCTTCTTTTGGTAGAATGGGGCAAAGAATGGAGGGTTAGAATGGGGTAGGTGGGGCAAAGAAAGACGAAAGGAGAAGAATGTTCCATATTCTGTCAGGCTTTGCCAATATAGGGGAAAGGATAGGGGTTTTCTTGGTAAACTGGGATAAAAAAACAAAAATCAATAAAAGCTTAAAAATTTGTCATTGAGATGGCAGCCACTTTTAAATTGGAATTTTAAAAATAAGTTATTCAGTAAACAGTAAAGAAATCATAGTTAAAAATCTAAATGCTGTCCAATTAGGATGAAGACTACAAATCAATTTAATTCAGTCATGTATTATGTGGTCAAAGGTGAGATGTCAGGAGAGCAAAAGTATGAAATGACCTCAGTGTCCTCAAGAAGAGTTATAAAATGATTAAGATTAATTATAAAAGGCAACATGTACAGGACATGTGGCTGAAGGAATTGAGAGGACAAAGCCTTCAAAAGAGAGATGGATTTTTGAAGGAAACAAGCCCCAGAAAGAACTGATTACAGATCTGTTGTCACTGGAGTTTCTGTATATATGAATATGGCTACAAAGAAATCTTGTCGGAAAATGTCAAAAGCAGACATTTATTAAACTCTTACTATGTGCTAAGAGTTAGGGGCAAAAGCAGTCCCTCCTTCAAGGAACTCACATTTTAGTTGGGGAAAACAGGCAAACAGCTATGTGCGTGTAAGGTATATACACACACACACACATACACATGTTAAATTGGAGTAATTTCAGAGGGAAGGCACAGAGGGGGAATGAGAAAGGCTTGAAAGAAGCTAGAAAAGGCAGAAGATGAAAATGAGGTTAGGAGGGCATTCCAGGTATGAGGGAGAGCCAATGAAAAGACAGTCAGGAGATCAAAGGTTTGTAATTGAGTGATAATGAGGCTATTGTCACTGAATCTGAATATATGGAGAGGAGTCAAGTGTAAGAAGACTGGAAAGGTAGGAAGGGACCAAGTTGTGAAGGGCTTTAAAAGGCATGCAGAGGCTTTTATATTTTGTTCAGGAGATAACAGGGAGCCACTGGATTTTACTGACTATGAGGGGAGGGATAATACCGTCAGACCTGTGCTTCAGGATAATCATTTGGTAGGTGAGGGGAGGATGGAATGGAGTAGGGAGAGATGAGGCACGGAGACCCACCGGAAGGATATTGCAACGTCTAGATGTGATGTGAAGGCCTGCACCAAGGTTGCTGTTGTGTCAGAGGAGAGAAGGGGATATATAGGAGAAATGTTGCAAAAGGGGAATCAACAGGACTTGGCAATAGATTGAATATGAATGGTGAGAGGAAGTGGAGAGTTGAGGATGACACTGGGAGTATAATCCTGTGTGACTGAGAGAATGGTGGTATCCTACAGTAATAAGGAAGTTAGGAAGAGGGGAGGGTTGGGGGGAGTAAGATATGTTCAGTTTTGGGCACGTTGAGCTTAAGATTTCTACAGGACATATAGTCTGAAATGTCCAAGAGGTAGCTGGAGATAGGAGACTGGAGGTCAGGAGAGAGGATGGGGTAGATAAATAGATCTGGGAATCATCAGCATAGACATGATAATTAAATCAAACTAAGATCACCAAGTGAATTACTATGGAGGGAGAAGAGAAGTCTTAGGATAGAGCCCTGGGATCATCCATAATTAGTAGGTGTGTTCTAGATGAAGATCCAGGAAAGGAGACTGAGGAGTGATCATATGGGTAGGAGAACCAGGAGAGAGCAGTGGTATTAAAAACTACAGAAAAGAGTATCAAGGAGAAGAGGGTGATGACACTTGTACAGCCAATGACCTAAATTTTTTCAGTGAAGTTTGAAGCAAGATTTTTAGCTAAGGGGGTTGAGGGGCAGAAGGTAAGGTTGAAAGAGAGACAATGTTTGGAACAGGTGCTGTGGAGATAATGAATTGATTAGAGAGGAATAGAATATTTGCCTTTATTCAGTGATGGCTCAGTTCAGATTAGACAAATTTGGACCTAATCAATATGGTTTTTATGACTTTCTCTAGCTCTGTTCAGCAGCATATGAATAGGAGAGAAGGCAGCAGATGGGAGTAATCCAAAGTTAGGGCCTTGCAAGGCATAATTGATGACATAGGGGCCGAGGGACTCCTGGATAGAGGACAGTGTAGAATTGAACTGGTTTACCAAGTGGTCAAGGTGGGGGGAAAGAGTGAAGCCAGTGCAGGGGTGATGGCCTAGAAAAGAACCAAGGGGTGGAGAGATTGGAGGTCATATTAAGAGGGAAGATTAGGGTTAGGGATCTAAGACATAGGTGAAGATGGAATGGTAAAAGATTATGACCAGATAAAGGAATTTGAGAGTTCACAAACATGCAAGTGGGACATTTGTGGCTAAATCAAGGGTATGATCATCTTTGTGTATAGGTGAGGTCGGTGATGGGAAATAGGCAAATTAAGGAACCAGGAAATTGAGAGTGTTCAAGGGAATAACAATATGTATGTTGAAGTCCCCCAGTATGAGGGCAATAAAGAAGACTGTGAGCCCATTGAGGAAAGAAGATAAGTGCCTAAATGTATTGAATGTCCGTAGATAATGGCTACCACAGTCTTGATTGGGGATAAATATGGAATGATCTGAACCTCAGAGGAAAGTTTACTGAGTAAGCGAAAGTCCCAAAGTAGCAAAAAGGAGCATGGATTATTCTGACTCTCTCTCCACAACCAGTATGTGTGTGTGTGCAGAATAAAAGCACAATGGGTACTGAAAAGGATGGCCAAGGATACAACAAATCAGGAATGAGCAGTTCTGAGTGCAAGAAAATGGAATGAGTGAGAAAGGAAAATGTTTAAGACGAAATCAAGTTTGTTAATTATGGAATTCTAATTCTAGAGAGCACAGTGGAAGGTGTGGGTAGATTTGGAGTGGGTCATGGTATAAGGTGGTTAGGCTTGAGGGGACAGCAAAGGATGAAGAATGGGATTTGTATCATGAAAACTTCAAGTTCAGAATCACTAGGATGGGGAACAGTATGATGGGACGGGAGTACACTAACCATTGGGAAATGAGTTCAGGAATATTATCAGTGGCTGCAGAGAAGTCTATTGAGGGAGGAAGGTCATTAAGATTGTTAAGGGTCTAACACCTTGTGGCAAGTGATAAGGTGTCCTGTGAGGCCCAGGAGGCATGATTCCCTGCAGGAGCAAAAGTACAGCCTAGGGAAGTCTAGACAAAGGAAGAGGTGGTCACTTGAGGTAGACCTAATCTAGAAACTACTTCTAAAGCCCTGGGAAGGCCCTTTGGTAAAAACAAAAGCCACAGATCCAGCCACGCTGGAACAGGCTAACAGAAATAAAGATGCATCATGAGAAGGAAGGCAAAGTTCTAATGTTTTTAGCATATGTATTCTAATTATGCAAGATAGTTTTGTTATTTTGGAGGGAGGACAAGGAGAAAGGAATCAGGAGAAGGAAAGATTTCAAAGAGCCCAAACATTTTAAAAATGCTTTTGATTTTATTAAACAAAGTACAAAAATGTTCTAAGATGTTCCAAGATGATCTTTTTAAACATATATTGACCACTGAACTGTCCCTTCATATGCAAGTCAGATTTTCTCTACTTCCATTCAGATCTGAACTTTCAATGTTCAATCAGAAATTTGTAGTACTCTTGTTTCCTGACAATATTTTTTTAAAAAAGTAAAGAAACCAAAAAAACCAAACTCCAAACCCCAGAATCGTCTTTCTTCCGATGCTAATTGTTCAGCTTTTGCTAAGTTGAAAGGCAACAACCCCAAAAGTAAGTTGTTCCCTGGACTGTACATGCTTCCAGGATCAATAAATGTTTCTTGTCCTTCCACAAGTTCTTGCCAAGTTTCTCTCTTCATCTTTTTTCTGTTTGTGTTGTTTATATCGTTCAGCCATTAATTTAAGCTCATCTGGAATTTCCTGAAATCATTAAGTGCATTAGGTTATCTGAATTTTATGAAAAATTGTTTTCTGGAGTGCTATTCCACATTCTCGGTAGTAAATTGAGGGGAATTTTAAAAGAGATACTAATTATTGAGATTAAAAACACAAAAAAACCTGATTTCTTAATAGTAAATTTGCAGATCTTGTCATGAAATCTTACAAAATTAAATTTACTCTCACATTTGCTAACATAACTAAAACATTTGTTTCATATTTGCTAATAAACAAAAATTTTAAATTAAAGAAATTAGGAAATACCAAATTATATCTCCTCACCTGGTTGGCTCTCTCCAAAATACTGATTAATTCACCAGCTATTTTCCAGTCGTTCCTAGTAAGTAGGGTAATTGATTCCCCTGTATGCCTTTAACAGAAGAGTCTCACATAAATAAACTCTTACCATGTTTTCTATGTAATATTAAAATAAGTTATGTTATTGTTTTGTTGATTTACTAATGGAGTTTCAGGTTAGTAAGCAAGTTTGAAAAGGACATAAAATAACAGAATAATAGGCAGAGGAGACATGTTATAAAGTTATAGGTAGGAACAAGCAACTTATATGCAAGGAACAGTAAAGAGATATGCTTGGCTAGGAGTAATGAAAAGTGAAAAGTTCTAACTGCTAAAGCATAACATTCTCACCCAGCTCTTCCAGTACGTCCTACTCTATGGACATACTCCTCAAGGTTCCGAGGAAAATCGAAGTTAAAAACATGGGTGATGTCTAAGACATCAAGACCTCGCGATGCCAGATCTGTAGCTATCAATATTCTTACTATTCCTAGAAAAATTGAAAAACCAAAAACAGGGATTTAATTATGTATATGTATGTGTGTGTATATGTATATAAAATACATATATTATATATGTATATATTTTACATGCAAACCAGACTGCTCAATTTACTAAGCACCAAGGGATATCTTCAATCTACATCTGAGTTTTTACACTTTTTAGGTGGGTACTATTTTTTGTTAGTGCTTACAGGCCTTATGGACCTCTGTCAATGGTAATTAAAATCCTCAGTCTAGAATTAGTTTAAAGACAAAATGAATGTGAAACATGATTCAGTGGAATAGTAATCATTGTATAAACATACCTGTTTTAAACTCGTTCAGTGCTCGTTCACGATCACTTTGTTCTCGATTACCATGTAATGACTGTACGGGCAAACCCTTAATGCTCAGGTCACTGGATATGTCATCAGCACTAAACATAAAATCGACAAATTAAAATGCAATCTGAACTACTAAATTACAAAATTTCTAGCAGTACAGCTATCAACTTAAGAGGGTGGTACCTTATCAATGCCATACTTCTCAATTAGATTTTGGCTTCTATCGTCAAAAGAGACACAAATAAGATCAGTAAAATTTGATGTTTCTGAGACAGGCAGAAAATGAAAGATAGTACTCACGTAAGTTTTCTCCCTACAAAAATAATTGCTTTATCTTCAGGCTTCATTGACTCAATGAAGGAATATATAAGAGAAGGCTTCTCTTGTTCTGTGGTTATGATTATTTTCTGTTTTACGGTATTCACAGCCTACACCATTCAAGGAAAGAATATTTCAGATTTAGAAAAACAGGTAAAATAAGATACAAATGTTATCAGTTTTATAAGTTATTACCATTTAGCCCTCATTCATCCAAAACATAAGCAATAGACTGCTATGAGCAGTGTCATAGCTTCCTTTAGAGCAGTTTTTTTATTCCCACTGAAAAACATGAACAAAGCATGTCTTATGCCTTGATTTCCTCTAAGTGGGCCTTCTATGTGAACTATGTCTCTCTTTTTCCTGAACCAGGAAACAATAATTGTATTTTAAAAATTGGTCAGACAATGCCATTTTTCTTTAAAGCTAGCTAGTTAAGAGTCCCAAAGTCTAGAGTTCTAAAGGCCTGAGGTAGAGAAGTTAAAAGAAGAATCTGAGTCTCTAGTGAAACACGATTATATTGGGGCCTATATATACCTGCCATCTAGTGGTTGGAGCTCACCCAGATCCTTAAAACACACAGGAAAGGGGAGGGATTATGCCGTGTGTCCCTGCTTAAAATGTTTTCCTAACAGCACGTCAATGACAGGAGTTCATTCTCTATGTAGGATATGGAAGCTATAACCATCTTCACTGACTTGCAACACAAGCTACCTTATACCCACTCAAAAGAAGGGACACAAATCCCAAGCTGAAAAAGCTTACGGCAAGATCCAGGGTTCCAACATAAACAATCATTGGATCGTTCAAATATTTTTGTGAAAGGCGACGTACAGCATCAGGCCAAGTAGCACTGTATTTAAGAAAACAAGATACATAGAAACATGTTAGGTTTTTAGATAATGCCTTCAAACAAAGTATGTGACAATGTAAGCCACTGTACTTTGTCCTAGAAGAGATAACAAAGATAATGAAGACATGAGCTACAACCTCATGGAATTTCTAATCTAGTAGGGCAAAAATAAGAAGTGATCTTTCCTTTTTTTCCTTCTGCCTGGGGATAGGCAAGAGGTCATTAGGGAAGTTTTCATGAAGGCAGCATTTGATCTGGGTCATAAAAGGAGAGACAGGATTTCATTAGGCTGAGAGTTAGATAAAGGAACTTAATTATATTGTATTGAGTAAGAATAGCTGAAAATTTATCTTATTTAAGAAAGCCAGGACTGAATAGGCAGGGTGGCATCATATAGTAAAGTATTTAAGTGAGCAACAATTGAATGGTTTGAAAAAGCAAAGACAATTACCTCTATACATAAGGAAGATTAATTTGGCAGTCTTGGGATGGATGGCTTTGAGTCAGGTGAGTAAGGCTGAATGTGGGGAGACTTATAGAGGAAGCAGATAAAGTGCTGCTGTGACTTTAAGAAGGCCTGGGTTTGAATCCTAGGCCAGACACATACTAGCTATGTGACCCTGAATAAATCATTTAACCTCTCAGCCTCAGTTTCCTTATCTGTAATATAGGAATACAGAGGTCAGAAGGGAAATCAGGAGAAAATGAAAAGAACTGGCTGTTAATCCAAAATATGGTTTCATTATGTAGTTGTTAAACTACGTTTAGCATTCACTTTGTTAATACTATTCAAGGGAATAACTTAGAACTTTAAGAAGTGGCCTTCATAGTACATGAAGAAATTGTGAAATCAGAAGGAGCCTATAGATTTCATTAATTCTATTTTATAAATGGAAATGATGTGATTTACATACCTGGTCATAATAGTTTGTCTATCTGGCCGTACATCTAATAAAATCTTCATTATTTGAGGTTCAAATCCCATATCTAACATTTTATCAGCCTCATCTAGAACCTGCAAAAAATAGGAAATGCTATTTTAAACACTTCTTTTAGATCCCATTTCCCCCCATGCTCAACCTAAAACCTACTAATCATTTAAGACAGTGGTTCTCAACCTTTGTTTCATGGACCTTATTGGTGATCAAAAGAAACCTATGGATCTTTTCTCAGAATACTGTTTATTGCCTATATTCATAATTAAAAGAAGTGCTGCATTTTAGTTAGAGGTTAGTGAAAATAAAGATGTAATTTCTTTTCTTATTCGAATTTATGAACCACTTGATAATCTATCCAAATACCCCAAGTTAAGAACCTCTGATTTAAGAGGATTTCTCCAAAAAAGTTATGGTTACTTCATGTAATACACAATAAAATCTCCTTTGGGTTTCTAGGAATTTGATTTTGTAATTCACTGAATTTCTAACACAATAAGTATGTGCCTATTGTGGCCATACATATTTCACTGAGGATGAAATGAATGGTTCTTGGAGTCTTACATTAACAAAAGTTAAAAATTATTTGGGAAGGTCTTTTTTTTTTTAGTCCTCTACTTCCTGTCCCAGTTTGAAACAGACTTACCAAATACGTGATGCTATTCAGGTTGATGAATTCATTCATTTGAAGATCATTGAGTCTACCAGGGGTAGCAATAACAATATCTACACCCTTAGTAACATGTTCAATCTGACCTCTTCTGTCTCCACCACCATATATACAAATGCTGCCAAGAGTTCCACAAAGTTTAGTTACAAAAAAACTCATGGCAACAATCATGGCAAATAGCCATTGAACAGAAATACTATTAAAATCTAACTGGAAATACAAATTACCTTTTAATCCCTTTATAGGTATATTTTTTACATTCACTCTCGACTTGTAGAGCCAGTTCTCTGGTTGGTGTCAGCACAAGCATTCCGGGACCATCCCTTTTCTCCCTGGTTCTTTAGAGTACAGATCAAGAAGTGTAGTTATATTCAATAGGAACCATGCTTTGCTACTCTAAAAAAATAAGAATCAAGTCTTAGTAATTTAATTAAATGAGGGTGGGGGGTTGGAAGATGGCAAGGGAAATCTAACCTGACCAAAGCTTTAAGCCTGGATATGAGAGAATGGTGGTTGGATCCAGAAACAGGAAGTTAGGCAGATGGTTTTAGTACTGGAGAAACTTATTCAGTAAGTCAGGTGAGAGATTGGTGGGGTGAGGCAAAGGTTAAGATACTGGGAATCATATGCACGGATGATAGTTGAAGATGTGAGAATGGTAAATTATCAGGTACGAGAAGAAAGGCAGGAGAGGAATGAGAAGAAACCTTGGAGAAAGTCTATCATTTAGGAATAGGATCTGATACCAGATACTGACTTAGGGTTGTTTGTGATGGATATTTGAGAAAATATGCCTTTTTGGTAGTTTTTTTCTAAAATATTTGAATTATTTGAGTAATTACTTCTGTGGGGTCTCTAATTTTCTACTTACAAATGCCCTAAACTATACCTGGCTGAAATCTATTGTGGAAAGATGCAAGAGTGCCTTAAGACTTGATTTTAGATGCTGTCCAGAAAAAGAACTATGGAATCTTAATGCAGATCAAAGCATATTATTTGTTCTCCTTTTCTTTTGTTGTTTTCTTTTGTTTCTTCTTTCTTGCATTTTCTTCCACTGGTTCTAATTCTTCTTTATAACATAACTAATGTGAAAATAAGTTTAATAGGAATGTATATGTTGAGCCTATATCAATTTATATGCCATCTTGAGGTGAGGGGAGAGATGGGGAGAAAATTGGGAACTCAAAATCTTATGGAAATAAATGTTGAAAACTAAAAATAAATGAATAAATTTATTTTTTAAAAAAGACTTGATTTTAGATTAATTCACTAATTACCAAAGATTTTAAAATCCCTCATTAAAGATGAATCCTATCTTTGGAAAAAAAAACAGTTTACACTACTAAAACAGGAAAATAGGAACACTTACTCTGGTTGCAGGTCAAGATGAATAAATCCTGGCATTAAATAGGCCAAGGTCTTTCCTGTGCCAGTTTGGGCAATGCCAATTAGATCAATTCCTTTTAATATTATTGGCCATGCTTGTGACTGAAAAAAATGACAAGCATTAAAACCCAAACTACAGCTTTAAATGTAATTTCTCTACTACAACTGTCCTCTCTCTCCCTCAAATATTATACCCCAATCAATATACTGAGCACTTTATATCATACCTGTATAGGTGTAGGTCTTGTGAAACCTACTTTCTTTATATTAGCCATAACATCAGGATAATGATCAAATGCATCTTCAAATGCACATACTGGATTGGGAATTACACGTTTTTCATTTTCTCTTAAGTCATCACACATTATATTATTGTTTTCTTCCCTTTAAAGGAAAAAGGGAAAGCTTAATAGCAGTCGATTTAGAGCTCACTAATCTGGTGCACAAACCAAAAAACTAACCCAACCTTCTCTTGTGTTTAAAAATTATACACCATCAAGAAAAGCATACATATTCAAATACCAATGAGTATAAAAGAAAGACTATATATAGAACCACAAATTCCTCTCTTCTTTGACAAAGGCCAGTCAAAACTGTTTACAAATGATGACACATTTAAAGAAAGCTGTATCTGCAAAGCTGTCATAATTTTGACAGAAATGTAAAAATTCATACAATGGATGCCACAGGACTTTCATTCCCAGATTAATCTGAGGTGGAGCTGAGAAATTCTTGTGTGGTAATTATCACTTTATTCTCAGTCTAGTAGTTTCAATTATTATAGAGGTGAAATTATGCCACATTTTCCATTTCAATTAGCTGGCATCTGACTTCCCTGATACATTTAAGCCAACTGCAAACAACCATACAGTGAGTTCACTTGAAGTACTTCAATATATAAAAGTTAGGGGCAGCTAGGTGGCACAGTGGATAGAGCACAGGCCCTGGATTCAGGAGGAACTGAGTTCAAATCCGGCTTCAGACACATGACATTTACTAGCTGTGTGACCCTGGGCAAGTCACGTAACCCCATCGCCCAGCCAAAAATAAATAAATAAATAAATAAGTGAGTGATTAAATAAGTAAATAAATAAATAAATGAATATATATGTATATATATATATATATATATATATATATATATATATATATATATATATATATATATATGAATTACTTACCTCCACTTATCTACTTGTGTTTGTGACATTAATTTTGTCTTTGAAGATTCTATGTAGAAATCTTTCTTAATTGGAGGAAGACCTTAGCAGAAAAAAAAAAAAGAACTCCACTAGTCAAGTTACTTGGAAATTCTAATTAGAATTAAGATGTACATAAGTGCCTAAATATGTAGCAGATAATCATAACTTCAACTGGATATCAAGCTGACTAAAAAAAAATAAATCTCTTTCAGTGTAACATTTTCTATCATTTTATGACTTGTCTCAACCACAGTTAGCATACTTTACAAAAGAAGTATCAATTCATAACAATCATGAAATCAGAATGGGTCACAGATAACTATCCTAACACAGTCAAACCTGCCTCTTCAGCAGTGACCTCTCCATCAACCATGTCCAATCTAGCCTCTATTTGACATTCCTAATATCTCCAGGGCATCCACTTTGGAGATTCTTTGTTTAAAAAATTTTGCTTCTCCTCCAGCCCTCTGGAATGTGAAATAATTATACCATGTGACAACTCTTTAAATATTTGAACAACTCACTAAACCTTCTCTTCTGCAGTTCTTTCAGTGTTCCCCATGACATGGCTTCTAGACCCTCCTTTATTCTTGTTACTTTATCTTTTTTTTTAGATTTCTCATCTTTTTATTTAATTTTTTTTTAATATTTTAAGTTCCAAATTGTCTTCCTCCCTCCCCAACTCACAGTAGAGAAGGCTACCACTTGACTCGAATTTATAAATATATGTAAAACTATACTGTGCATACTTCTATTTATCAGTTCTTTCTTTGGAGGTGGGTAACATCTTCCTTCATAGGTCATTTATAGTTGATCTGAATATTTATAATATTCAGAATAACTTGGTTGTTCACAATTATATATCTTTGAACAGTATTGCTGTTACTGTATACACAATGTTCTTTTGGCTCTGCTCACTTCACTTTTCATTATTTCATGCAAATCTTTCTGTGTTTTTCTGAAATCAACCGCTCATCATTTCTTACCAAGCACAGTAGTATTCTATCACAGTCATATACCACAACTTTTTCAGCCATTTCCTAATTGATGGGTATCCCCTTAATTTCTAATTCTTTGCCACCACAAAGAGAGCTGCTATAAATATTTTAGAACATAGAGGTTCTTTTCCTTTTTCCCTGATCATGTTGGAAAACAGATCTAATAATGGTATTGCTGGGTCAAAGGGTATACACAGTTTTGTAACTCTTTAAGCATAATTCCAGATTGCTTTCCAAAATGATTGGATTAGTTCAAAGTTCCACCAATAATATATTAAAGTCCCAATTTTTCCACATCCCCTCCAAAATTTGTTTTCCCTTCTATTATTTTAGCCAATCTGATAGATATGAGATGATATCTCAAAGTTGTTTTAATTTGCATTTCTCTAGTCAATAATGATTTAGAGCATTTTTTCATGACAACAGATAGTTTTGATTTCTTCATCCAAAAATTGCCTGTTCATATCTTCCGACCATTTACCAACTGGGGAATGACTCATTCTTAAAAATTTGACCAAGTTCTCTATATATTTGAGATATGAGACCTTTATCTGAGAAACTGTCTATAAAATTCCCACCCCCATTTTCTGCTTTCCTTCTAATCTTGGCTACACTAGTTTTATTTGTACAAAACCTTTGTAATTTCATGTAATCAAAATTATCCATTTTATCATTTTACATCTCATAGTGCTCTTTGCCTCTTGTTTATTCATAAATTCTCCTATGTGTCTGATATATACTATGTTCCATATTGTTATAATTCACTTATATTTCCCTTTATATCTAGGTCATGTATCCACTGTGACCTCATCTTGGTAAATGGTGTAAGATATTGGTCTACACCCAATTTCTGCTCAAAACTGCTTTCCAGTTTTCCCAACAATTTTTACCAGATAGTTTATTCTTATCCCAAAAGTTTAAATCTTTACATTTTTCAGACACAAGGTTACTATAATAATTTACTACTGTGTATTATATGTCTACTTTATTCCACTGATCCACCTTTCTGTTTCTTAGCCAGTACCAGATAGTTTTGATAATTGCTGCCTTATAATACAGTTTAAGATCTGGTATTGCTAAACCTCCTTCCTTTACAATTTTTTAAAAATCAATTTCTGATATTCTTAACCTTTTGTTCTTCTAAATGAATTTTATTATTTTTTTCTAGCTCAAAAACCCAATTTTTTTGGTAGGGTAATTGGATGGCATTGAATAAGTAGATTAGTTTAGATAGAATTGTCATTTTTATTATATTGGCTCACCTTACTTTTTCAAACTCAGATCCTAGAACCAAACTAAAGAAGACAGGCAGTTTCCTCCTTATCTGGAGTCTATTAATATGACCTAAGATTGAGAGATCCAGTGGAGTACTGGATAGAAAGCCTGCTAGGGGCTGAGGAAAACCTAGGGCCAAGTACTAATCCAGACACAGAATGGGCCAAGTTAAGACCACTTCACCTCCCAGTGTCTCAGGCAGCTAAGACTATAAATTAGAATGCAAGCACAAGACCTGCTTTGGTAACAAGAATTCTCTATACCAGTGAAATCACAGGTCCACATTCCAAAGCTGTCTTCCTCAATATATATAATATTACTAACTATATGCATTACTAACATACAACACACACACACAACACACACCCTAAGATGGTTTGTGAAAAAGGATTAGAGAGAGCCATCGTAGTCATATCACACACTACTCAGTTACTGCCTTACCCTTCAGTCAGCAACTTGCACAAAGGATTAAAATAAGATCATATCCTATAAAACTGTTTATGTTCCTTTTTTAGTATAGAATTCTTTAACAATGGTAAGAGAATTATATTTTACCAGAATTATTATTTACATTTAAGACAAAAGTCACAAGAATGTTTATGTTGTACTAACCGTCCCACTTTGTTTTAATATAGTGGAGGTGGTCCTGTTTAATAGCCTCCCAATCAATCACTGGCACTTTTTTCTCTGGGCCATTTTCATTACAGGATGATTTCAAAGTGTTTCCTTCAGGGTGCAGAGAAGTTAAGAAGGCAAAGTCATCAAAAGTTCAAAAATATTACTTTGTAACAATTTCTGCTTTCATAACCATTGTCTTCCATTTACTAATAAAGAGAAAATTCTTCAACATAAATTACTTTTATTAGTTCAGTATGAAGTGTTGGTCATGATTTCTAAGATGTTTTTGAATGTAGAAAGTAGGTAATGTGGAAAGAATAACAAACATTCCTTACAGTTGGGTTTTTTTTTTGAGGCAATCGGGATTAAGTGACTTACCCAGGGTCACCTAGCTAGTAAGAATCTGGGGCTGGATTTAATTCAGGTCCTGACTCCAGGGCCATGCTGTATCCACTATGCCACCTAGCTGCACCCTTATACTTTTCTCCCCCTTTCCCAAGAAGTAAGTAATAATACGTTATTTACTAATTATAGTACTTACCTTGCAGGGTTGTAAGAAAAGCACTTTGTACACCTTAAAATCACTATATAAATGTGAATTATACAGTATCATCTTTCTCCATTCTAATGGAAATAAAGAACAACTCCCTTTAAATGAGTAAAATTCATTTTGAAATTCTCAAGTTAAACATACATGTCTAACAAACTCAGGCTTTCTCTACCAACTAATTATGTGTACCTCATTTTCCTCATCTACAAAATAGGCTAGTAACTATACATACTGCCCAATTCACTGTATTGTTCTGAGAATAACATGGTATATGAAAACCTTTGAAAAACATAATAGCAACTCACATTTCTATAGCATTTTAAAGATGACACAGGATTTTCCTAAGAGCCTAGTGAGATGGATTGTATAAATATCATCCTATTACATTCATCATAGGGTCACAGCTCTAGAACTTTAGAGGTCTGTCAACAAGATCATCTCACTGTGAGGGAACTAAGGCTCAGGTAAGCCAAGTCAATACTTCTTAAACCTCACTGGGGACCCGACCCCCAGTTTAGGAAGTGTTGATGGGGTCGGGAATGGAAAAAGCTTAAGAAGTCCTGGGCTAAGTGACTAGCCCCAGGTCATACAAGTGATCAGATCACTGGCTGGATTTAAACGCAGGAAATAATCACAGAACATATTTCTGCTTTTCTATCCTCCAAAAGCCTAAAGCAGTATTATGTATCATAGACTTAATGCTTATTAAACAAATGATTAAGTTTGTACAAAAAAATAGCTTATATTACATATAATTTTATAACTTTATATATCATATAAACTTAAAGTGCTGTCTTTTGACATTATTAAGGCCAAGTCAACATGTTCAAATAAGAATATGGAGAGTAGTTGTGGATATAGTTAAATTACCAAGTGACAAATGTCATGTTTTTCATGACAGCCAACATTATTTCAATTAAGGAAGCTAGGTGGCTCTGTAGATACAGCACTGGGTCTGAAGTCAGGAAGACCCAAGTTCAAATCTGTCCATGGGGAAGTCACATTCTGTCTCAGTTTCCTCAACTGTAAGATGGGAACAAGTGCACCTATCTGGAAGGGTTGTTGTGGGGATCAAATGAGATAATATTTAAGTGCTTAGCCCAGTACCTGGCATACAGGAGGGCAATTAATAAATTCTTCTTCCCTAAGGCAAAGGGTATGAACTAGAGAAACTAGGAAAACCCCTGGAAGACTAGAGATCCATTGAAATTTAGTAAAGAAGGGGGTTAGGGGAAGTAAAATGTTATAGCTGTTAAGGTCCAACAACAGTTGAAAATTCATTTAATGGCTTTCGCATAAAGGATTCTGTTAGAGTGGCTGTTTTATAAATACATTTATGGTATAAAAATTAACTTACCAGTTTTGCTGTCCTCTTTGGAATACTTTTCTGTTTTTTTTACTATTTCTTCTATCATTAACTTAGCTGATTTCTGGTTCTCCTTGTTGCCATATATTCTGGTTTCTGACTCGAGAGTCCCTTTTATTATCTAAAAATACAGAAAGACATCGATAATCATAATCTTGTTATACTCAAGTTTCCAAATTCAAAATGGTAAAAAATTTAAGCAAATATAATAAAAGTGCTAATGGATCTGGATTATCAAGTTTCAGAAGCTGTTTGGCTCACCTCCTGTATCTCTCTTCTGATTTCATAAGGGATATATCTCTAATAGTTGAACAAGATTGTTACTCAGGATGGACCTTAGAATAAGGTATAACCCTCTAAAAAAGCAAATTTTAACAGAACTGTTCCATGAAAGTAGAATTTTTTGTAGTGTTTCAAGATGATATAATGGTCAATTAAGATAAGAATATCATTTCAGTTGACAAGGCAATAACAAAATGATAGTGAAAACAGCTTTCCAAAGGGCCTCTCTCTATCTTTTAAGATAGGGTAAGGGGAAAGGAGGTCATTTGAATCTCTTTCCCAAAGTTGTACATTGCTCACCCTCCAGGAGAGTAAGGGATTATAGAAATTTCATGTGCCACTGAGGCAGGGCATCTGATTAGCTATATAAACTTAAAATGTTATTGATGTTTTCTGTTTCTTAATCACCATAGTATCCCACTCCACATATCCCATCCCTTCCCTCTCCCCAAGAACCATCTCATATGACAAACAGTATTTGTTTTTCAAGAGGAAAACAAAAAAGTCAGTACAACTGAAAAATCCATTAAGAAAGTCTGAAAATATGTGGAATGTGTAACATTTCAGACCTCCCACCTCCACAAAGGGGTAGGTTAGGGACTTCTTCTCATATCTCTTCATTTAAGTTCTAGTCTATTTTTATAATTTTGTTATATTTACTTCTTATTTTTTTGGTGCATTGTTGGTCTTTTCATTTACACTGTTGTAGTTCCTGTTCATATTGGTTTCTTGGCTCTGCTCATTTCACTCTGCCCATCAGTTCATATAGCACTTTTCAGGCCTTTCTGTATTCACTACACACACAGCACAGTAATGTTTCATTACATTCATGTACCACAATTTGTATAATCATTCCCCAGCTGATAGGCATTTACTTTGTTTTCAATTCTTAGTTATCACAAAAAGAGCTGCTATAAATATTTTGGAGTATAGTGGTACTTTTTTCTTATTGATGGCTACCTTGAGGTATAAGTCTAGTAACAGTGTTTCGGTTCAAAAGGTACAAATATTTTAGTCACTTTATTTGCACAATTCCAAATTGCTTTCTAAAATGGTTATATCATTTTAAAGACAATGTATGTGCCTTCTTCCCATAACCCCTTCAACAATGACTATTGACATTTTTTGTCATTTTTGCCAATTTGCAGGGTATGAGGTGAAACCTCAGAGTCATTAAGATTTGAATTTCTCTTATTATTACTGATTTAGAGCATTTTTTCATATGGTTGCTATATGACCTTAGGCAAACTTTTGAGTTTCATCTATAAAACAAGTTTAATTTCTGCCTCACAGGGTAGTTATGAAGAAGACAATAAAAATGCAAGGAATTGCATGACAAATTAAAAGCAATAAAGCTAAACATAAAAGTAAAATCAGAGGTTTACACTTTGCTCAAGGTTCACCAGCAACTTTATGCCAATTCTTTTTCCACTGCCACACTTCAAAGAATACCTGATGATTAGATTTTATGAAATCACATGTTTAGTTCCAGAGTTTCATTTCAAGATGATCCAAATTAACATTTACCTGAATTTTAGAACCCGTTGAGTCTTGAATTTCTTTTATTTTTGCTCCACCCCGACCTGTTAAAACATTTGTAAATTGTACAAAATAAGTATGATTGATAAGATTTGGACAATTTGTTGGGTTAATTATCAGGTGTCTAAGACTACTAGACTAAACTCTAGGGACTCTCTCTCTACTTTCTCCTTCATCTCCCTCCAGTTTTCTGGCTAACTGGGCAGTCTGCCCACATATACATTTTTTTTTAAAAGAGAAGAATGAACAAACATTTCTCTGACCTCCTAAAACATGACCAGTTGAAATAAAGATCAAATGTGTTGAATTGGGTGTTGTTCTGCCTTGGTTTACATATTGCATGTACTCTTCTCCTCTCCAATCCTGAAGAATAAATTCCTCTAGGCCTGGGACTTTTCTTTCTGTATCCCTATTGCCTAAATAGTACCTTCCTCAAAGGTTGGGCTTAATAAATGCTTGTTGAATTGAACCGGTAAAGGAGACTAGATTGGAATAGGTAGTTAAAAAGATCATAGATTTAGAGCTTCTCTACCACTTCCTAAAAGAAAGATGATGGACTCAGAATGCAGGTTTTTTGGTAACGGGGGTTTTGTTTTTCTTGTTTTCTCAGTGGGGAAAGAGAAGGAGAGAGGTAGGAGAGAAGCTGATTTTTATTGATTGAAAAAAAATGAGAACTTGTCTAGTCCAATGGTCTTTCTCTGTTTAAGAGAAACTGAGACTGAGGTTCAAACTTTATGTTACTTGCTCAAAGTCACACTTTGTACTAAGGAAGTGACCTGGGACTCGGAATCAGCTTTTGACCATACTAGATCTTCCCCTGCTTATTGTTATTTTACCTAAAACTGAACAATTTCTTTTAAAGGCCAGCAGGTTTTAGAGTCCCTAGGTTTAAAATACAAAATACAAAACAAAAAACAAACCCCAAAATAAAACAAACCCCAGGGAAGCATAAACACCTTTATCTGTTAAGAGCCAACACGTTCTGAGTGTAAAAAGAATATGCGACCTTTGGGGGTAGTCTTGTATTGGATAACCAATTCAACCCAACCTCTGAGGAAGGCATTCTTCAGGCAAGAGGGAAAAGTAAGGGTTTAAGCTTCCTTTAAAGTGCACAGGCAACAGGAACCAGTAAGGGTGCCAGGCTCTAAGTTTACAGTCCCATTCTCACAAAGAGGACACGGGTCTCTCCTTTCTCCAGGGTATACATCTATCTTCTCCCTCCCCTTCCTACCCTAAAGCAGTCCCAAGGGGGAAAGGTAGGTTGGGAGAGGAATGCTCCCCGAGGGGCAGAACAGGGGATGGCTTGGTTTGGGTCAGTCCTAGAGGAAGCTGGGGGCCCTGGCCTAGGAAAGTGGTCAGGGAAGCACAGGTTCATAGCATCAGGGGGAGGGCCACACCCTTTGCGAACTCTGTTCCTCAAGCCAAGTCAACCAGCATTTATTAAGCTCCTACAGCATACCAGGTACCCTGTGTCAAAGCAAATCCTTTCTAAGTCAATTCCAGTCAAAGAGTGCATATTAAGAGCCTACTGTATGTGACAGGCGCTGGGGAAACCCAAGCCCACCAAACTAGAGAAACGAGGAAAAGGAGACCCCCCCCCCCCGCCTCAGGGCAGGCATCTGACCTTCGAAGGTCCGAGGTCAAGGCCAAAGGCCAAGCAGATGGCCCCGCCCTCCCGTGGCCCCGGGATTCCCCCGCCCGGCTCCTTACCTATGACCGCCCCTACGACGGAGCTGTCGAGTTTAAAACAGAGCGGCGCTTCCCTGTAGCAGGAGCCCCGGGCCCGGTACTCCAGGGATCCCGAGGGCCGGGAGCCTCCGCGGCTGCGGCCGCCGCCGCCTCCCCGCCCCCTTGCACTGCCGCCCGCCGCCCGAGGGGGCGCTGTGGGCGTTTTCTTGTCAGGGGCCTGACCGCGAGAGGCAGCACTGGAGGTGCGGGAGGCGCAGTTGCTGCGAGTTTCTTTGGTGGACATTGCGGGGGCGGGGCGGGGGGCGGCGGGGTAGGTCAGGAGGTGGAGAAGTTAGGGGGGAAGGCGTCGGGTTTCTCCTGTCCTCGATGGTAGGAGCCTCCCCAGAGGTGGAAGAGCCGGGACAACCAAAGCTCTGTCCAGCAGCGAACTGGGCCCAGCCTCGCCTACACGAGGCCAGCGTTTACATACCCGAGACCTGCCTCCGCCCCTCTGAGGCCTGAACACCGCCCGAGGAAGCGATTGGTTGGCGGGAGAAGAGGGGCGGTGCCTCTGGAGCACGGCCAATCAGCTCTCATGAAGACCTTGAGCTCCTGAAAAGTTGTCCCGTAAGGGGTGGGGCAAGCGCGTTGGGACTTGTGCTGCCTTTGCAGTTAGAGTTCTATCCTGTCTATCTAGGACTAGATAATCATAATGATTAATGATAACAGCCCTGATTAAAGGGACTTTTAGGGCTGGCCTTTCCTCCTAAGGAGGCTCCGTAAAATGGCACAGTGCAAGCCTATTTTTTCTCCCTTTTTTTTGTGTGAGGCAATTGGGTTAAAGTGATTTTCCCAGGGTCATACAGCTAGTGTTAAGTGTCTGAGGTCGAATTTGAACTCAGGTCCTCCTAACTCCAGGGCCGATGCTCTACCCACTGCACCACCTAGCTGCCCCTATTTTTTTTTTACAGATTTGGAAACTGAGGCTCAGTGTAAGTGATGTATCCACTTTCTCCAACACCACACTTCCTTCTCAATGGACTGTTCAGCAGATCCTCTATCCCTCTTCTACCATATAGCCTTTCCTGGTCTATTTCAGGAAAGAGAGCTGAGCAGCTGAGACTCCCAAGTGTTATTTACAAATAAAAGAAAGTAATTGGAAAGAATAGAGTGTACTCTTGCTTGGGGTGGGAGCCCCAGATTTTTTTGATAATAAGTGGAAATATTTTGCCACTTTTAGGGGTATATCTCCTGAGCACAATGTGATTATTTCTATCAGTAGGTGCATCATTCTGTGCCATACCGTTTTCTTATTTACCCTACTACAGGCCTCCACAGAGGGCATTTGGCAAATACTGGTCTTGACTAACACTTTGAAATGATCAGTTAATTCCCCAGTCTTATTTTGAACTGCATTTAAAGACAAGGCTGAGCCAGATTTCTCTAAATGCAGATGCTGTGCATGTAAGTTAGTTGGTTCTTCTAACTATTCAGTTATTTTTCTGTAACCTGCAAGTGTTTCAAATAGAATAGTGTACAGCATTGGGTGGCAAGAAACCTGGGTTCTTCTGATTCTTTATTCCTGGGAAAGTCATTAACTTCTTGTGGGACTCAATTTCCTCATTCTTGATAGAGTCTAACTCTCTGATTTCCAGCCCTACTTCATTACTACAAAATAAAACATGATATTAGACCAACTTTTCCACTTTAATTGGTCTATAAACTATAGCTATAGTTAGAGGGAAAAAGGTGAGATTAAAGGTAGTTTATGGTAGTAGAGAGGAAAGAACCTCCAATCTTTAGTTGTCCAGAAATCTTCATTCAAATTTCAGCTTTCTGGTTTGATTGAGGAAAGAAAAGTTTCAAAGAAGAGGACTCTCCCCCACTGTCTCTGCTTTCAAGAAGCTTACATTCTAAGGAGGGAGACATTTGTAAAAAATTTTACAAATATTTACAAATATTACTTAGGAGAGCCAAGATGGTGGAGTAAGAATTAAGTCACTCTTACCATCCCTTATTAACCTCTGAAAGCCCAGAAAATATCACTCCAGGAAAAACCCTGGAACAGCTGAACTAGAAGAAAGACAGGGTGCAACAGTCTGGTAGCCCAGGTGGGAAAGGCCCCTCCCTCTTGCCCTGGGAGAAGTAGAGCAGTACAGAATGAGGGGTGTCCCAGCAAGCTAGCAGAAAACCTCATCTCAGCATACCAGGGGGAGATCCTGAAACCCAAGTGGTAGAGTAGGCAAACACCAACACCAGGAACCCCAGTGCCTCAGTAAGGGCACGGGAACCAGTGGAAACCAGATCAAAAAACCACCACATGCCTTGGCATTCTATGGCAACCAAGTTTCCTAGTGCCTTAGCAAAACTCTGGGAAGCGGTCCAAGGAGCCCCAGGCAAACATCCTGAAACATCCATCTGAAAGGAGCTGAAGAAAGCAAAAGGAAGGAAAGGCCCAGGTAAGCAGGCAACCTCCAGGGGCCACACTACCCAATCCTACCTCTAGAGTTCCAGTGTTGCTTATTCCAGCCCAACACCAGGTAAGCTGCCAGAACCCTACAACCTCCAACTGCCAACGTCAGAGGTCCCTGAGTCACACAAAGCCAGTGATCAGGCCCTGGGCTCCCAATACAAGAAGCTTGGGTCAGTGCTCCTTGCTCCCCAGAAGGAGAGCTTGGTATCTTTAAAGGCCAGGAAATAAGCAGACACCATGAGCAAAAAGAAATGTACTATAGATTCTTATTATGGGAACAGTGAAGATCAAGGCAGAAATTCTGAAGAGGACAACATTGTCAACAAACCCACATCTGGAGCCTCAAAAGGGAATATGAATTTGTCTGAAGCCCAAAAAGCCTTCTCAGAAGAGCTCAAGAAGGATTTTAAAGGTCAAATAAGAGAGGTAGAAGAAAAATTGGGAAAAGAAAGGAGAGGTATGCAAGAGAGAGTCAATAGCTTGGAAAAGGAAGGACAAAAATTAATTGTAGAAAACAAGTCCCAAAAAAATACAGTTGGCCAAATGGAGAAGGAGGTACAAAATCTAATAGAAGAAAACAATTTGTTAAAAATTAGAATTGGGCAAATGGAAGCTAATGACTCTATGAGAGAGTGAGAATCAAACAAAAAGAATGAAAAAATAGATGAAAATGTAAAATACCTCATTGGTAAAACAACTGACCTGGAAAATAGATTCAGGAGACACAATTTAAAAATTAGTGATGTACCTGAAAATCATGATGAAAAAGAGAACCTACACAATATCTTTCAGGAAATCATCAGGAAAAACTGCTCTGAAGTCCTAGAACCAGAGGGTAAAATAGCCATAAAAAGAATCCTATCACCTCCTGAAAGAGATCCCCAATTGAAAATGCCAAATTCCAAAATTACCAGGTCAAAGAGAAAATACTGCAAGCAGCCAGAAAGGAACAATTTAAACATGATGGAACCACAGTCAAGATTATGCAGAACCTTGTAACTTCTACATTAAAAGATCATAAGTGACTGTGGGCAAGTCACTTAACCCCAATTGCCTCACTAACAAAAAAGATCATAAGGCATGGAATACAATATTCCATAAGGCAAAGGAGTTTGGATTACAACCAAGAATCAACTACCCAGTGAAAATGAGGTTGATTTTTCAGGGGGGCAGATGGATATTCAATGAAATAGGGGACTTTCAAACCTTCCTGATAAAAAGACCACAGCTCAACAGAAAATTTGACCTTCAAATACAAGGGGTATACATAGAGGGGGTGAGTATAAGTTGACTTTGATGTAATGATTAAAAAAAAATCTAATCAAGTGGGTTAAATGGATCCAAGTAAGTGGATTAATCTAATCTAACTAAGAAAATGTACTGAGGAGTTTAATGTCCCAGATATCTATAGAGATTTATATATGTACACATATCCATATATATCTCTCTCTATAGAACCTTGATGAAGTTGCCCAAGGGTTATGTAAATTAGACATTTTAGGAATTTTAAGCTTCACATAATCATTTGGTTCATTTACTATTTCCTTTTTTTCCTTGTTAAATACAACAGAACTTAAATGAATTTTGATCTTTCTTTTTAATGATTATTTTAAAAATGTGCATATATTGCTCTCTGTGGCACACAGCTTTCACAACACTACAGATATGATCTCAGTGTAGTACATATAAAACTGCACATTGATTTTCCTTGAGTGCTTTATACTGTTGAATTACATCTCCATGTAGGGCTGAAAAAAATTAACGATGTTTATATATAAAACTTTGTTGCTTTTGATGTTGTGTTATTGTGCACAGAAATGTGTGCAGTAAGTTTTTGCATATGGTCCAGGTAAAAAATCATGGTCGCCTTGCAAGTTAAGTGCTGCTTCAATTCATTGTTCATGCTGGAAATTTTTTCTCCCCATGGAATGTAAGTAAAATTGAGTGTCTGTCACCAATAAATGGTCATACAAAAAAAGAAGAAAGAAAAGAAATGTACTGAGAGAAAAGGAAAGGAGGAAGCAGACAAGGGTAAATTACATTACAGGAAAAGGCGCAAAAACCTATTACAGTAGAGGGAAAGAAGGGAGGGAGATTAGCATTGTTTGAATCTTACTCTCATCAGATTTGGTTCAAGGAGGGAATAACATAATCACTTGGGTATAGAAACCTAACTTGCCCTATAGGCAGTAGGACGGAAAGGGGAAAAGAAAAGAGGGGGGCAATAGAAGGGAGGGAGGAAGTAGTAAGGGTAAAGGGGAAAAAAAGGGAGGGGGCTAATAGAAGGGATGTGGGACTGAGGGAGACATTGGTCAAAAGCAAAACACTAGTGAGAAGGGAAAGGGAGAAAGGAGAAAGAAAAGCATAAACGGGGGAAATAGGATGGAGAAAAAGACACAGATAGTAATCATAACTGTGAATGTGAATGGGATGAACTCTCCCACTAAACAGAAGTGGATAGCAGAATGGATTAAAAACCATAATCTTACAATATATTGTTTATAGGAAATTATGGACCAATTTCCCTAGTGAATATAGATGCAAAAATTTTCAATAAAATATTAGCAAATAGATTACAGCAACTTATCACAAGAATAATACACTATGAACAGGTAGGATTTATACCAGGAATGCAGGGCTGGTTCAGTATTAGGAAAACTATCAGCATAGTTGATCATATCAACAACAAAACTAACAGAAACCACATGATCATCTCAATAGATGCAGAAAAGGCTTTTGACAAAATACAATGCCCATTCCTATTAAAAACACTAGAGAGCATAGGAATAAATGGAGTCTTCCTTAAAATAGTAAGTAGCATCTACCTAAAACCTTCAGCAAGCATCATATGTAATGGGGACAAGCTAGAAGCATTTCCAATAAGATCAGGGGTGAAACAAGGATGTCCATTATCACCACTGCTGTTCAATATCATACTGGAAATATTAGCTTTAGCAATAAGAGAAGAAAAAGAAATTGAAGGTATTAGAATAGGCAAAGAAGAAACAAAGCTATCACTCTTTGCAGATGATATGATGATATACTTAG